CACACCGTTCGACATTCGCCATTCATCTCTTAGGCAACCCACCGTGCGCCCCCGACTACCTCTGACTTTTCCTCGCCGCTCATTTTCCTTATTGCCAGTGAAATGCAATAAAAATTGTTTTCCCATAGACGATGCTGGTGACGGCGGCTAAGCAAATGTTGTTGGAAATGAGCTATAAAAGCGGGAAATTGTATTTTACAGTGAATTTCTGCAGCACACAAACTAGCTAGCTGGCTAGATAGACCTGTTCTGGGGCATGGGTCCTGTAGGGCCAACCCCCCACCCACATCCTGTGACCTTCCACCACCCACCAGCCGTGTCGACGCTCTCCATGCTCCTGTCGCAGATAATCCGCTGCTGAGTTGGCTTGTCTTGACTTGGCTTGACATTGGCTTTGGGTCGACGTCCCGCTCCGCTTCCATTTTCTACGGTTCGAATCGGGTCTGAAGAACCCACCCATCCAGCTTTCCACCTCCCATCTATCGTGGCTTTATAAGCTGCCAATATTAAAATGATGACAAGTTTATGGCAAAAAGGCAAAGGCTTCGTCAGGCGAGGCAGCTACGGAATATTGGTTGGAAAAAAGAGCAGAACCAGTGGAGAAACAGATGAGCGAAAATGCAATTCATGGCAAGCTGATGTCTCGTGGCTTTATTTATAAGCAACCCATCAGAACGACCCCACAGCCTTGAACAATGGGAATTATAAAATTCCATCTGCCCCCTGCCCTTTCGCTAAAGTGATCAAGAAATAAATACTTACATAACTAGGAGACATTTTAGAAATGCTAACAGAGTACTCCTCTTTACAGGACATTTTGAAGGTAACCAAAAAATCACAATTAGATCTTAGATATGGTATTTGTCTGGCTAATAAAAAACTAGTTCAGCTGCTACACCATTAAATTTGTTTTGATGATAGGATTTAGTTTTAAAAATTTAAAATATTAGAACATTTTTGTATAGTTTTAAATATGACTCAAGTGCATTGTATATTTGTATATTGTATATTTTCGTTGCTCCTAATTCAAATTTAAGACATTGTATTTTTTTCCAAGCATTCATTTTCTATATTTTGATATTAGAATCTACTTTATTTTAAGGTTATTAATAAATAAACTAGATCCCTTAAATGTCGTACACAAGGGTATGTGAAGTCTACCCATAAATCTATTTCTTCTTGGTACAAAATATCGATTTACCTTGAATTCCAAATTCAAAAAAGAACCAGAATAATGACAGGAATCGGTTTGGTGACCCACCAAATTGTCTTCTCCTGCTGGAAAAATTTACGTACTTCGTATTTGGTTCATTTCCAAGTTCTCCTATTGCATCTCTGGTGCAACAAGGATGGCAGCAGGAAAAAAGAACGAATTACATAAATAACTGCGCAGTGTTTGTGCCATTTTGGTTGCCACATTTGAATAAAATATGAATAAAAACCGAAATGCATTTAGTTGGAAGGCGGAAGGGAGTCTAAAGTGGGTAGCGGTAGCAGCGACAGATAGGCGGTGGGCTGGGGTTGGGTTTAGGTTTGGGTTTTGGGGGTAATATCTCTGCAGGGCCTTCGCCGTACCCACTCCCCACCACTCACAAGTGGCTCGACCAGTTTGTCACCTTTTCGCTATAGAAAAGGTCTTATAGAAAGACGGGACTCGTCGTCGTACTCGTTCAAGGGGATTTTTCCCTTTTTCCTGCAATTCACAGGCACTGGGAAATATTATTAGTTTGTTTTGTAAAAATTATATATTGATCTGATAATGATATATTAATATATATTAACATTAAATCATAATCTTTGAATAATATACATTTTAATTCCAAGTCATTAAATGATATTAGCTAATAAATATTTTCAAAAAGTTAAGATCAGATTAATCAAAATACATCTAACGTTTTTCTCATCAGATTAAGAATTTCGTTCCTTATATGAAATCTATTTCATCATCATGATTAAATGATAATAATTTATAAATATTTTATATGAATACGTTCAGATGCTTTAGGTTACGCTAGGACAAAGCTAAAAATGCATATCCAATTTAATTTTTAACAAATAGTGGAGTACCTATGGAAACCTTCTAGTTCTCTTAGATTTTCCCCGTGTAGTTTCTCTCCGCGATTACCCCGATATTCCCGCGCTGCCCTGTCTTCGCATACAGATACGATAATATTTGCATTCAGTTGGGCCTCCCTGCCTCGAACTCCCGCCCTCCATTACCATTCCTGTTGCAGTCTATTTCTTTTTTTATTTCGCTGTCAAAACGTCAGCAATGTCGTCCTCTTACTCGGCCTCATCCTCGTCCCGGTCCTCGTCCCGATCCTGCCCTTGGCTGTAGTCCTGTTCCTGGTCTTGGAACCCGTCTGGAAATCGTTCCGGAGCGCAGCGTTCGCTTGGCTTAATTTTGGCTAGGGAAAAGTGCATAAAAAATCTGCGGCGAATTTGCAATTTGAATTCGAGTCTGCCTGTGACCTCTTCCTGTCTCCTGTCTCCTGTCTCCTAGGTCCTGTCTCCTGGCCCCCAACTCCCTGCCCTTTTGCATAGCGTACCTATGTGTGCTAGTGTGCCTGTGACTCCTTTATTGAGCCCAGGACATGGTCGTCGTCGTCGTCGTCGTCGTCGGCTGGGAGGCCATTTTCTCCGAAATTCCCCCTCCTAAGAGCCGCCTTTTGCCGAGAAGTCTTGGCAGGCAGTCAGGCGGCTATTTAGGAAGTAATTTTCGCGCTTTCATCGCAACTTTTTCTTTTCGCCTGCTCGCTGTGCTGTCTGCAGATCTTTTTGGGCACGTTATTTGTGCTCCTTGATGGGGTCTGAGGATGAGGCTGCTCCTTTAATGCATTTTTAAAAATGCCAAAATGCGCAAATTGAAAGCGACTCGCCGGCCCAGCTCCCCGCACCCATCGTTTCAGTTCTCTAGCCCTCTAGAAATGAATTCTGCGGTCGCCCCAGTCTTTTTCGCTCGGGGTCACGTGCTCGCAGGACGCAGGACATTCTTTTGGGGGGTGCAGAGAGGTGTATATACTATGCCAGGGGCCACACGCAGGCATAATTTCAGCCACTGCACTCAGACTTAATGAATATTTTAAGGACAGCTTTCGTATTACCTGCCACTGCATATGTTATATGCATAGATGTATGAAAGTTCGTCCAGGACAAATGTCACAAATGAGCATCAAATGTTTGTCAAGTTACAATTTTTTGGGCTTGCGAATATGCCAAAGTTCATATTGGAGGAGTGCCTGAATGTGGGATTACTTGTGGGCAACCCAACCATTACTTTCTCAATAATCCGGAGAAAAACGAGAAGCTTTTGCCACAGACCATAAATAATTGCAATTGAATTATGCATTTATGTTTCATGTTTCGAATGTGCCCTAATTATAATTATACAAGCAAATATTAATCTTGAGGTCGGTTAAATATCATAAATCAATTTGCAATCAATACCCTTACAGAGGCAATTTCTTATTAAGTACAATTAAATGCACTGCAATTTGTAATTTAAATATGTTAAACCTTTCACATTCTCCCAATCGGAGATAACACCCACAACGATTTAATTGGTTTTATTTCATTACCACTCAAAATTGACAGCTAATGATAACAGCCCATATTTAAACACCCCATCAAAGTCGGCTTACGGGAATAATTTAAATCCACACTTATCTAACCGCAAAAAGTAATTTCAAACAATTAAAAATTTCGTGTTGGTTTAAAATTTAAATTTAAAATAAATAACTGCATTAATTTCGTAATTGCAGGAATGCTGAAGAGCTCAAGTATCTTTCGATGATAGCACATGCATACACATTTGCCATTCCGCTTGTTATTTTTTTTTCTTGCCATAACACATAATTAAAATTACACACATTTTATATATAACGTAAAACCCCACCGCACACACGCACTTTCAGTGGTTACAATTGACCCAAAATGAACTCTTTCCCCCTTGGAAATCTCGCGGGCTTTTGGCCAAAAGCCCCAGCCCGAAGATGCCAACCACAATTTAATCTCCCTGGAATTATTTTCCCCCTACCCCGAACCCAAGATCCCGAATACCCATCCTAAGAGCCCGTTTCTCCTCGAAGGCGTTCTTTCTTTTTCGCTCATTTCAGCCCCCGCACCGCCCGGATTTCTTTGTATTTGTTAATAAACTCCCCGGCAGACTAAATTCAAATTACGCACACATCTTGAGAGGCTGAGGGGCCATTTCGCTTATAGGCTGCTCATTATGTCAGGTCTATATTCATATACGACTTGCCTTTTGCCTTCGCAGCCCCGCATCCTCATCCATGGCGTTCCGGTGAGTGCGTGAGTACGTCTCATTCGCATCCAGATCCCGGGGAATCCCCCGCCACTCTGACTTGTCGTAACATTTCATCTTTATTTTGGCATTATTCCCCAGGCGCCGCTTATTGTTTTTCGTGAAAATGGCAACGGCAATGGCAACAAATTAGAAGCGTGTGCCCATAGCCCGAAACGAGATGGAAACGAGCTAGGTTTCTGGGCAGTTCTAGGGGGTATTTTCTAGTTTCCTCGACTACGGGGAAGGTGTATATCCCTGGAGCACCTTCGTTTTGGGTTAATTTCCCTGCTCTGCCATCTTAATCATCTAATGGTGAAGCGAACCCACTTTATATGTCCTATATATTATTTTTATATTATCATTTAAAATTCTAAGACTTCTTATATCTTATCTTCTCATAAGTAATATTTTTTAAAACATCGAGCGTTATATAATTGCGACTTGCAGCACTAACTTTGAACTGCTAAAAGCTAATTGATGCAATATAATATTAATTGTCTATCTCACGAAAGCTGTTTGCTACAATATCCGGATGTTATTTTCAAATAATTTAAAATATAAGAAGTTCGGTTCAATTGATACTTGTAAATATGTTAGATTGATCACAGACCATTTAATTTAAAAAACTATATATGTATTTATCGTACTCCCCTACAAAATTATCCAAAAACCCATAATTTAATTAAACGCTTAATTGCCCTCTGCTCTATTTACTCGTTTATTTATCCCTCTGATCTACTTCTTTTTATTTAATTAGATGCAACATGGTCAGAAGGTTTCAATTTTGGATAAATTCATCGTACAACAGATTGGTTAACAGCATTCTTCATATTTGTGCCTGCGCATCCAGTTCACTCCATTCAGTATTCAACATTTAGCGTTCTAGGGTTCAACTAACATTCGTTATAATTTACAAAATATACGTGATAACGGCAATGGTGTATTGTCCTTCGCAGCGCATCCGATCAATGATTCATCCAGGCTCCTTCCTCTGCATCCTCTGCACCCTCAGCATCTATTTTAAAGTATTGTTTCCAGCGCCAACGATTAAACATATAGAATATCTCTGTATACAAATATCAGCTCTATTTCTTCAAGCCCCAGGCGTTGTTACTGGGCACTGGGACCCGGCGTTGTCCGGACTCGCGTGCCAGCACCTCCATGATGCTCGTAGCAGGAAACCAGCACTGCGTGTAAATAAGCCAAGTGAGTACATGTGAACAAGATTCATTGAGTTGAACTTACCCTTTCCTTGTGGGCCGTAGCCACGACATTTCGATTGGGCTCCTTGTCGTAGGAGACCGACTCTATGCCAAATATCTCGCACAGCTCGTGCACCAGCTGCCTCTTCTCGCGGTTCATCGTGGGGAAGGAGTGGCTCCTCGAGCGCTGCTTGCTCTCCTTGGCCAGCTTCACCAGATCAGTCAGCGTCTCGTAAACGCTCTTGGTCAGCGCCGGGTTTCTCTTTGCGAAGCCACGTACGAATTCCGAGTACTTGGTCAGGGTTTTTTGCTTTGTATCGGGATTTCCTGAGGACAGGGCCACAGCCAGACGACGATTTCTCTCCAGCAAACGACATTCATCGTTGCAATCCAAACTAATGGAAAATATTATCAGTAATCATATTCTATATATCATTAAGGATCAAGACAACTCACGTTCTATTGGACTTGTTAGCCTTGGCGGGAGCCAAGATTTCGCTAAGCTCCATATAATTGCCGCGCGACATTTCTGCCATGGACGAGGCCAGCTGAGCGGTGGCTATGCGACTGTGCTCCCTGGCCAGCTCCTGGCAGCTGCGGCTCTGCTTCCGGTGGCCGCACTCGCACTGCACCTCCACCAACTCCTTGCAGGGCGTCTCCGGACAGGCTCCCTCGTGGCAAGCGGCCGCACACTTGTGACCACAGTTTGATCGCGGCTTAGTGCAGCTCTGGCGGCAGATCTCGCCGGCTGACTGACAGGCGCCTTCGTGGCATGGCTTGATGCACTTGTGGCGACCACAGGGCAAAGGCTTGCCACAGGCCAGGCCGCAGCTGAAGTTGGGCTGCGAACAGGGAATGGTCTTGCGCTGCTCGTGGTTGCCGTGGCAGAACTTCGTGGTGAACATCATGCAGGGCGGACAGGTGGCCGCCGAATGGCAGTTGTGTTGAGGCGGATGCTCGCAGGGATGGGAGCGCGAGCAAGGACGCTTACAAATTGGCTTCTTGGTGCCGCATGGCACCGGCGGATAGATCACTTCAGCGCCACACTCGCAGTAGAGCTCCTCGAAGCTGCTGCGGTAGCATGGCGGACAATTGCCACGATGGCACGGCTGATCGCACTTGTGCTTGCCGCAACTCAAGGTTCGGTTACAGGGCAGCGGACAAGCGTGGTCTATGTCGATGCAGCACTCGGCATTGCACTTGTGCTTGCCACAGCTGCGCTTTTTGGTGCAACGACGCTTGCAGCGAGCATCGTCCGCCCGGCTGGAAAGCTGCCGGCATTTGATCATCTGGTCCATGTGGCCGCAACGACACTTCACCGCCGTCTGCTTGGGACACGGGGGGCACTGGCCGAGGTGGCACTTGCTGCCGCACTGATGCGGATGAGCCGGCTTTCCGCAGCGTAGCGTCCTGGAGCAGATGCCCTCGCAAGTGGGGATGGGATCAAGGCAGCTGGAACGCTGAGCAGCCGGTACTGGCATCTTGCCGCAAGGACAACTGGTTATCTGCTCGGGACTGAGCTTACAGGGTCTGAAAGAAAGGAGTCATCAGTTTAATGGGCTTTATTTTATCGCAAAAAGCAAGGGTTAGAGAAAGCTAGCCGCATAAACTTTGAATATTTTTGCATACAATTGACTGGTATAAAAGTTGGTGCTCAAGGTCAGGAGGGTTTTTTTTTGGTTATTTTTAGAGACATGTTTAATGCGCATTTCTGACGAATCGAGAAAAACGAATATTGTGCGCAAAAAAGGAAAGATTTAAATTTTTTTAAAGTTTTACGAACATTACAATTTTGATTTAAAAATATACGAAGTCCTTATTTACCAATTTTGTTAAGTTTAGACAAGATGTATCAATTATACTGCATTTTTCGATTCAAAATAAATGCACTTAAGGAAAGAAGGTTTTTAACCATATGTATATTCTCACCTACAGCTGCCCGCATGGCAGGAGTCTTTGCACTTGTGATTGCCGCAGGGTAGCGGCTTGCCGCAGCTCTCCTTGCAGGAATAGCTACGTTTATCCTGGCTCTCGCGCGTGCACTGCACCTGGCGCTCCTGCTTGCCGCAGTGGCAGTGCTGCTCCACCTGCTCGGGACACGCGGCGCACTTGCCCGAGTGGCACTCCGCCTGGCAGCGATGCTCGCCACAGTTAAGCGGCTTGTCACAGATCTCGCCGCATAGGAGCTCCTCCTTCATGGCGCACTGCATCGTCTTGGAGCTGCGCCCACAGCCACAGCTGCGCACCACGTTGGCCTGGCATGGCGGGCAGGGACCCGGGTGACAGAGCAGAGTGCAGGCGTGGCTGCATCCCTCGATACGGCAGCAGACCTCCCCGCAACTGTGGGCCAACTCGGTCCGCGACACCGGCGGGTTCTTCAGCTTTCCGCAGAAGCAGAGATACTCCCGGGGAAGGTCCTGCAGCACATTCTGACAAGCAGGACAACGCCATCCCACATCGGACTTGGAGCTGCTCGCCCAAGTAATGGTGCACTTAAGGTGGAGCAAGTGGTAGCAGTTCTGGCACGACCAGGTCGGCTGATGCGCCTTGATCGCCTCCACGCACACCAGGCACTCCAGTCGGCGCTGTTCGATGTCGCGAATCAGTTTCTCCCGCTGCGATAGCTTCTCGTTATCCGGTGCTGGCGGCGGCGGAGCCCTGCGTGGGGATATCTGCTGCTGTTGCGACTGCTTCTCGGGTGACGGTTGGGCACTCTCGTTGCTCGTGTCCAAGTCGTCAACGGCCCGAGGAAAACCGTTGATGCGATCCCTGTTGCGATTCCAGTCATCCCTGCGCTTGTTGCTGCGATGATTGTCGTAGCGTTGCTGCTTCTGTGGCCTCCTGCGATCGTTTCGCTCGTAGCGGTCCTCTCTCTCCCTTCTATCCTCCCGCTCGTCGCGATAGTCAGAGCGACGCTGCTGACGCGTGCTTCCGGGTCTCGAATCCCTGTCCCGCTCCCTTTCGTAGTTGTGGTTCGAGCGGTGGTTGTTGCCTCCTCTTTCAGCTGCTCCCTCGGCCTGCAGAGTCCTGGGTCTCGGCTCATTTATGGCAGTCTCTTGGCTGGCAGTGCTGTTTCCGTTTGTCGTGGCCGCCGGAGTCTCATCTAGACTTAGCTTGGCCAGACTGGGCACGAATTCGGGCGCCGAGGCCTGCAGCTTGGAAGCGCTGAAGTCGAACGGATTCATGCCAAACGGTGTGTAAAGACTCGAAAAATTGCTGCTGCTGCTCGGATGGCCCGATTCATAGCTGTTTGTAAAGGCGGCGCTAGCGATGCCATCGCCATTTTGATACGTTGGGAATATGGGCTGCGAGTAAAACTGTTAAAAAAAAGAGATTTATTTTATTTAGAATGATGACAAAAATAATAACAATAACCATAAACATTTTATCGTTTTAAAACCATTAAACTACAAAATCAAGCAAACACTATTTTAAAAGAACGACTATCACTTAAACTGGGCGTGCAAATCGCATAGAAACAACTGACATATCTTTATCTCATTTTCCATTGAGCATGATCAAGATTAAATCTACCTCATAGGGTAGGGAATGTCTTAATTAATAAGTGCCCCGCCTGTCAATTTGAAATGTATGAAAGCACGATGACTCACATTTGCAAAGTTGTTGGAGTTTGTTGCTGCCGCTGGTGGATTCAGTCCGAAGGCTCCTCCTCCGCCGCCGACGGAGTAGTTGCTGTTGCTGGCACTGCTGCCCAGAGGATGTTGCATGGTGCCTCCGGCATTGGGGGACGCTCCTCCGCCCAAATTGTGCTGCATTATGAACTGATTGAAGTTCACATAGTTGTTGTTGCCGTGGGCGCTGCTGTGGCCACCCACTCCGGGCGCCTCGTGACCTCCATTGCAAGCGGCGGCCAGGGCAGGTGAATCATTGCCCTGTCCTGCTGCTCCGCCGCCGTTGGTCAACTGTTGCCAGTACTCAGCCATGGAAAGTCCGGTGCTGAGCTGCTGCTCCTTCGGCTGGTCCTGCCTTATCTTTTCCGCCGGAGAGGTCTCGGTCTGTGCTTGCCCGCCTCCGACTGCTGGGCATTTCCCAGCTCAACTCCGGGATTGACCGCAACCCACGGAGGAGTAGTCCGATGGCCAGCAAAGCTCCAGACACGTGTGCAGTGATGAAATTGAGCCCAATGGCGAAATTTACCGAACCGAAAGCTCTGATCGATCGGATTGGGCGGAAGCCTGTTGCCGGTCAACTGGTCGCCACGCCGCCTGTGTGCGCGGGCACTTCTTAACTGGTTTTAAGGCGCTTTCTGCGTATTTTCGCTTAAATTTAATAATTGCTAACAAATTTCTTCTAGTGGTGGAGAAACACCGAGAGAAACATCGATGCCTGCACCAACTGAAATCGATTAACGGCAATGGTCTGATGTCGATAAGCGATAAGTGCCAGGATGGTGTCTCCGGTATGTGAGGATGGTGTCTCCGCTACGGTTAACCAGCAATAAAAACTATCTGGCAATATTGCCTGTTATTCAAAAAAACGTTAAGATTAAATGTACGTTTAAAATGCACATCGTAGCAAATTTATTCAATTGCAAAGCCAAATATATTGAAAAGACAGATAAACAGAAGGTATTTTGATCGAACATTTATATGTTTATTTTTTAGTTTTTGTACAATATAGCTTCAGTTTACTTTTATGTTTAAACTAACAATATTCCTTATTTTGTGTTCGTTTTTTTAAGTTTAGAAGAAACAATATTCCATACTTTGTGCTAGTTTTTTTAAGTTTAAAAGAAACACTTATTAATTATTTGATGTTCACCGTGTACAAATATATACCGATGATCAGACCGTAGAGTCCCAGAACCTCGGCGAAGATCAGGATCAGAATCATGCCGATGAAGAGACGTGGCTGTTGGGCGATGTGTCGCACCCCAACGTCGCCCACCTCACCCACGGCATATCCGGCAGCCAGTCCGGCGAATCCCACGGACAACCCGGCCGCCAGGTGAACATATCCAGTGGGCAGGGAATACTTGAGAGAAGGTCCCAGTTCGCCGGAGAGAAGAACGGATACCACCAGGCCATAGATGGCAATGATTCCAGCCATAATCACAGGAATAATCGACTTCATCACCAATTCCGGTCGCATTACGGCTGTGGCTGCAATTCCGGTTCCGGAAACAGCAGTTCCATAGGCCGCTCCAGCGGAAGTCAGCACACTGGAAAAAACGACGCCCATCACCCCATAGAAGGGTGCGTAAGGTGGATGGCGATCCAGTGTCAAAGCAGACTCGCTTGATTCCTTTAGCTGCATGCCCTCAATGAGCCCCATCAGGTCTAGAGAACCCGTTCCATTTTTCGTTGAAGGTACACCTTCCATTTTCTTCGTTTTATGAGCTGCTAACTACGAACTTAAATAAGACAAGTTTTGCAAAAAGTTATAAAAATAAATAAGTTATATTTACGTGAATGATAACGCTCTAATATATATTGCTTCAATCGATTCTAAATTTTTGCTTCTCAAGGCTGACGTTAATTATATTCCATTGGTTACTAGATTGAAAATACAATAATATAAAAATTATTCACTATTTCAGTAAACTATGATTTTATGTCTAAACATCTGAAACAATGATAAAGAAATAAATCTTCTTCAAAAATTAAATAATGCTTTGTATTTTTGAGTATTTATTGACTTATTATAAAAATTCTTAAGTTATTACTAAATAAATGTTAAGGCAAGATTGACTTTTAAAATATTTAACAAATTCGTTTAATTGTTATTGACAAATATCATATTTGCTTTAAAATATGAACATGAAATACTTTGTTTAAAAAAATAAAGGTTTTAACTATTTAAACATATTTTTTTTACTAATAGTTTTATTAAATATACCTCGCCTTAAGATTTTTGACATTAAAACTAATATGAATAACAACAATGGAAGAACTATGCTTGGTAAGTGCTACAATTTTGGTAGATACTGCTTGGGGTACGATACGAAGCCGATCCTTCTATTCAGAATGTCCTGAGGTTGCTGAGAAGGGTTTGCTGAGTGGGCGGTTGCGAGGGTCCAGGTGGCATAGATAGAGGTCCAGGTGGTGGTGGCATCGCGAAGGTTGGGGCCATTGCCATAGCCAAAGTGGAGGGAGGCACCTGTTGAGGACCCTTTCCAGGAGCCGGAAGTACGGAGGATGTAACTCCATCCAACGGTCGGTACTGGCACTTTTTGGCATGGGTTCGCATATTGCTCGACTGGGTGAAGGCCTGATTGCAATTGGGATGTGGACAGACATAGGGTTTGCAACCAGTGTGGTAGTTCAGGTGGGTCTTCAGGTGGTGCTTCTTGGTGAAGGCCTTGGGGCACAGGGGGCAGCTAAAAGGCTTAATTCCCGAATGGAGGCGATGGTGCAGAGTCATGTTGCTGCGATCGGCAAAGGATTTTCCGCACACAGAGCACTGATAGGGTTTCTCCCCACTGTGAGTTCTCATGTGCTGTTTTAGGAGCATTTTCCTAGAAAACCTTTTGCCACACTCGTTACATTTGTGTGGTTTTACTCCAGTGTGAATCCGGACGTGCATATTGAAGGCAACTCGTTGGTTGAAGGACTTGGGGCAATATGGACACTCGTACTCCTTTCGATTCCGATGGATCTTCAGGTGGCTACTCAGATATCCCTTGTCGTTAAACGTCTTGCCGCATTCGGGACACTCAGCAGCAAACTCCTTGGTTCCCCGATGAACGGACAGGTGATACTTGTAGTTTCGCAGCTGCGAGAAGCCCTTTCCGCAATCCGCACACTCGTATCGCGGCGATTTATGCGTCTTTTCGTGAGCCTGAAAAAGGAAATGCAAATTAATTATTTATATTTAAATATTGAGATGAAGTATTTTTAAAATTATAGCAATTTATAAATTGGTAAAGTTGGTCAGAGAATTAAATATTTACGTTTGAATCTTGGCTTTAATAAAAATAAGATATGTAGAGCAGGAAAAGTTATTGAAAGAACTGAGAATTTAAAAAAAACTGATACGTTTTAGAACTATTTAGGGTTGACAAACATTTTTCAGAAAATTAAATAATATATTAAAATATATATACATATTTTCTGAGTTGGCAACTGAAGTTGTTGTTCTTTCTCTTCGTGGCCATTTTGTGAATGCTTCTCGCTTGCTTAACCCTCTCTGTCTAACGTATCTGGTAGCTGCACCCATGCGTAAAACCAGTTTAAGGCCGGCTTCTGTTTTTGGCCGACTCCATTTTGAGCGGACCGTTTTCAAGATATGATTTGCATAAGGCACTCGATTCTCCGCTGCTCTCTTACCCACTCCAATCGAATATTAAACCTTTCTCTTCGGAGCTCCGCCTTCCCATTGGATCTCTGTTTCTCCGTTTTTCAAGCCCCGCCCTATTTCAGATGGTATTTCGGTTGGCTAAGAAACCCGTTTTGGGAGGATCTCGTGTGTCTTTTGACTTTGAGGACTTGGTGAACGATATTTCATTTGATGTATGGCTAAATGAAAGGTTAATGGTGTTCTTGCAATACATTTTGGATTGAAAGGAATTTGGTTTTTTTAAATGTTTAAATGCAATGGCATTAATAATACTTAAACTGGTGTGGACAATGTAGATCGGCAGTAATCCATTACATTTTTCCCATAATCTCGTTTCACATTGCGATAAATATTTTAAACCAGTTGTTAAACGGTTAAGTATAATCAATTTGTCATTCATAATTTGCTGGAAAAAACTCATTTGTCTTTGCTAAATGTTTGTGTGTAGGTACATACATTAAATGTTGGTACTTATGAATTAGAATTCAATTTCTAATATATAAGCCTACAAGAAAATATCAAGAATACATAAGATATAGTTTGCTAACAATTGGTAAGCAGTTAAAAATATTTTAGTTGTTTCTATAAGGCTTACAAATTATTTTCTAGTCCGTATGGTAAAATAAAAGTAGTTATTAAACAACACATTTGCGGACGAGCAAAATGGACCTAAGTACTTTATTGCATTATTTTAATACTTATTTATTTGTTTTAATTCTTTTTTTTATTTTGTTAATATGCTCTAAATCTAAACATTATATTGTAATAGAACTTTAAAAAACTTTTCTTATTTCCTTTTTTTACAGCCTTTTTTGGTTTTATATGTTAAATATAAAATTATTGATTTTTTAAAACAAGAACCTTACCTGAAGAGTTTCGGAGCATCCAAAGACCTTCTCGCAAATCCTGCACTTGTAGCTGATCTCTTCGGGAGATGTTGGATTATAGCCAGCGATACCACCCATTCCTCCACTGTTACTGCCGACGGCTGTGGTCACAAGTCCTCCTCCGGCCAATTTGGGCATCATTCCGACGGCTGCAGTCTGAACTGAACTTAGACTCAAATTGGTAACGGTGGTCAGTGAGATGTTTGTGCCGGCGGCGGCTCCTCCGGCGGCACTCATGATCAGATCCCTGACGGGACGCACGGAACCACTAGAACTGCTGATGGAGGAGGCGGCGGGCGAGATTAGGGGCGTGGTCTGCTTGTAGCCACCTCCGGCCTGCAGTCTTTGGTAGTAATCCAGGCACTCCAGGCAATCTGGTCGAGTGCAGGCGGTGCTCTTTGGCCGGTTGAGTGGTTGTTGGGGGGCCTGAGTCTGTCCATTGATCACATAGGGGGCAAAGAAGCGTTTCTGCTGATTCGGTAGAGTCTGCTGATGATGATGCTGTTGATAGGGTGATGTGGGTGGGGTACTCAATCCTGCAGCCGCTGCAGCAGCCGCATAGGCGGGTAGTAGATGCGGGAAGAACTGGGCATAGAACTTGGTGGCATTGGCCATGGCCACCAGATCGGGTGGCAACATGGAGTAACCTCCATAGGGGGTTGGCATGGATAACCCAGTTCCAGGTCCAGTTACGTTTCCTCCAGCTGGAGGACTCCTAACACTAAGACTGCTACTCTTGGAGAGATCCAGTATACTCGTGCTCGTATCCTGAGCTGGCTTGCGATCCTTTCCCAGGATTTTACTTATACTAAAGTCGGTGACCTGAACCGGTTGGATTTGGGGGCCAGCACCCAAATTCTGGACTCCATTGTGGGTGGGCGAAGTGCGTGCCGGCGAGGGCGAGAGATCGTAACTGCGCTGCAGCATGGCGTGCTTGAAACCCATTCTTCTCGGCGCCGAAGAATCACTCATAGACCGCTGGGGGCTACCGATTTGGATGGGTATTTTCGTTATCTACGGAGAGGTTTCGCAGGGGAACTGTCGCGTTACGCGTCGGAACTCGAAATGTCTTGGACTCACGGCTGCTGTGGGCCGTCATCGTCTTTTGGCCGGGCCTAAAGCCAGACTTGCGCTCCCGCTCTCGAATTTAATTGGTCGAGAAACAGGTTTCTTCCGATCCCTCTCTCTCTCTGGGACTCTCCAATTAACCAAGTTTGACTGCTGGAGACAAACTGTCGCGCCTCCAATTACGAGAGGAGCTGCAATCTGCAGGCCCAAAACCATTTGGTAGTAGCGTTCTACTAGTCACATCTATCATAAGGCTTATCGCTGCCCTCAGATCGCTGGGATCTCTCTTTCGCCCCGCTCTTCTCTCTTTCTTTCTTCCCGCGTTCTCTGGTCCTCTCCTGATAAAGTGACTAAGATTTCGTTTTGGCCGCGTTGTTTTTGTAATTAATTGCGGTAATAAAATGTGCGCATCGTTAAATTTTCAAAATGTATTTCTCTTGTTCCTCATCCACATTCACATTCACATTCACATTCACATTCACATTCTCATCCGCATCCAGCGCACATCCACAACCACATCCACATCCACATCCACATCCACATCCACATCCACATCCTCATCCTCGCCCGATTCCGATTCCCAGGCATGTGTGAATCTTACGGTTATGCGCATGCGCAGCGATCATCTTTCGAGGTGACTCGGTTCGTCACGGCAGTGTTTCTCTAAGATTTGTGTGAGTGTGGGAAGGAAGTGAAGCTGTGGCATGGACTAGATGACATAACCGCTTGGAAAGTCCGAATCGAGGATTAGGATGTCTGATCTTTTTCTTGAGAATATAAAAAACGGTTTTAAGTGGGACTGATAACGGTCCAAAGAAGGTTGATCTCTTATAACCTATTTTCGAATCTTCATCTCCAACTTACCCATATATTAAGTTAGGATCCTTCCCCCATTAAAATATAGAGTATTTGTTCGTGAAACACATTTAAGGTTTGTATTATTTTTGCAATATTTTGTAATTACTTAATAATAATACAAATATTTTTTATAAGACAATGCACAAATTCTCTTTAGATAACCCTAAAAAATTTGCCAAATTATCTAATAGATTCCTATAATGATTTGTATAAGAAATGTAAAGTATTTCTTGATTTGGTTATGTCCTTAAAATGACATTAATACTTACAACCAATAAAAAGTATTATTTTTAGTCCAGCATCTCCCCAAAACTGGACCTACATCCTTGAAACCCTGCCCATTAAATCCAGCCCCCGTTGCAAATCAAACCAGGCCAACTTCTTCGACTTGCATAGCATCAGTAGCGACTATAAAAATGTGCAAAACAAAATGCTCGAAGCCCGGTGATTTGTGATTGGCCGAAACGCTCATAAATAACGAGGGATCCCAGTCGAGGACTCTGAGGATCCGCAGAGGTAGATGGTAAGATGGTGACACACAACCAGAATTCAGAGAAGCTCCTGAAACAAATGAAGTGGTATACATTTACAGCTACATGGGATACGGTGAAATGGAGGTGCTTTTCTGACTCACAAGGATGAGGGCCCCGCTCTTAATTGCAAATTACAGAATAGAGTTTCTAATGGTCTCCATGGCACAATCTTGTACACGATTTGTCCACGATCACTTACAAAACGATTATATCAGGAGAGCCACCTTACAGACCCCCAAGAACAGTGGCCAACTACCTAAGTATCTTCTAGCCCAGTGATTGATAATGGTTTGACTGTCAACACGCGCTGCCTGCTTTGGTTACCCACGATCTGCATAAATTTCGATTAAACAGGCGATTCATTATAATTATATATATGAGGGACCGGGTGGAGAACAGTCCGAACACCACAAAACTTGTTCAACCTTAGTTGAAAAACTCTTTTTTCGTATTTCGTTTTTCGGTTCGGTTGGCGTTTCGTGGAATTCCGCCAGATTATTTACATATGCGAAGCGAAGGAAACTTAAGTTTTAATTACACTCACTAAATCATCGGACCTCTCCAGACTCCAAGCTCCAAACTCCAAACTCCAGTCTTCAGTCTCCAGGAGACTTTGTTGCTTTGTCGCATGACTAATGTTTATTAGCTGCTAATGGTTTGTTTTACAAAAGCTACGTGGTTGCCCCATGCGAAGTTCCCCGATCCATCCCAACCCAAAATCCCAGTGAATCCCCAGCCGCTCCAAAACTGTTTCACCCGTTGACATTTTGACAAATTTCCAACTCCTTACTACTGTCGTCGTTATATGGGGCCGGCTCCAATGTAAGCTGATACCTATCTCAGATGCCCAGATCTTAAGCCGATCCCCCATTCCCGATTCTTCTTCTTTGTTCACACTATTAATTTTCCGCTCGTTATTGTCGGGATTCTGACTTCGGTCGACTGGCCGGGTAAACTCCTCATTGGGGTTTGGGGTGGTCGGCATTTATCTTATTTTGTGTGCGTTTAAAACTTCTTTGTGAGCCTCTTTAATGTCATGTGTTATCGGTTAATGATCAGCCGCGTTGCCAAGTGATTTTCTGTCAGCGGGTGATCAACATTGCCAGTGGATTTCCCCTCTGGGCTCTCCTCCTTTCGGATTCCGTTTAATTGCCTTAGTGGGTTCGACTTTTGTTCTCTGGGGTCTTTGGATCTCTAGACCCTCTCCTCAGCGCCTTGTTATGTGTAGCTTGACAAATGTGTTGATTTGCCAAGTTTATTTTCAGCGATGGTGGGCCCAACATTTTGGCATTAAGATTGAACGACCTTTTGGGGTTGCTGATTTCTCAAGGTGAAAATAAAGAGCGATATTAAGTTTCAATGTGTTTTCTTCCAGGTAAAAATATATTGGACCGGGAAAATATTAATTAGATTTAAAAAGAAAATTTTCATATAAAATATAACAAATATTATATATCTATTTACAACACCTGGTGCAAAAATAATAATATGTAAGTCTTAATAAAGTAATCTTACACAAATACACCGCTATGTCGGCATCTTTAAAGTCTGAAAGATATGTCAAAACTCTGATTGCCAATTCTAAAGCAACGCCCACCTCCAAAACCCAAAAATGATCTAAACGCCCTACAGCATTTATGTATTTGTCAGGCCACGGCAATAAAACTTAACTTAAGCCCTAACAACAGCATTTAGGAGGTGTTATACTATTGTCTACCCCAGATATAATTTATATTAATGGAATAAAAGTTCGCTGAAAACGAGACAGAGACAAAGGAGAGTAGATGTTCGTGAATTATATATGCACGCCTATATATATACAGATCCAAAGTGGCTATACTATATATACGAATGCGAGGCGTATGGCTCGGCGATGTTGTAGATCACAATCATTTCAATTAATTCGAATATAAAATACGAAGTGGAGACGGCGGCTTTTGCAAAATGAACCGCGTGCGCTCGAATATATCAAATTTCAATATAAATGAGCCACAAACATAAATCAAGGGGGGAGGCCCCTCGACCCCGTCTTGTTTAACATCTTGAGTCCCCCCAATGGACCCCCCAGATCGAAAAACTCACGAAAGTGAAGAAACGAACACGCCCCAGATCGTTTGACTTTTAATGCATCCTAAAAACACAAACCTACCAGAAAAAACCCAAATTTAATGGACTGACGAATAGCTGTCAACGTCTTCTAAGGGAACTTTCTTTGCTCTTAAAGTGTAATTTATTTTATTTTTACACCAATTCAAACGAAAAAAAAAAACAAGTAGACCTTATAGAGAGGGACAAAGGCGGAAAGTGAGAGGGAGGGCGATACTAAACATTTAATCGGACGTTAATTATGTTAATGAAAACACATTTCAAATGCAAGAATTAAAATCAAATTTTTCAATTTAAATTCGATCGCATCGCATGGACCATTTTTATTCGAAAACACATTTCATTGGAATCCAATGGGTGAGCGGGATGGCGATCGAGGGTGCGAGCGAGAGCGCTGACCGATCTGCTTATTGAGAAATTGTGTGGAGAATAGTGATAAATCTTTCAGAGAAACAACAATCCAAGTTCAAATCCAAACCAAACCCAACGGGGAATAAATGTTTCTTCGTCAAGGGGAATGCAAAGTTGTCGCCAACGCAAACAGGTTGTTTGTTGTGTTTTCTGTGGTTGCCGTTGTTGTTGCTCGTGTGTGTTCGAAATTGAACGATTAACTACAAATTTGAGCATAGATTAAACTAGGAAACACTGGAAGAAAAAAGGATTTAATAAGAAAAGGATACAAATACTGTCTACAAGTATCAAGTAAACCGTCTTTTACATCTCGGTTAGGGCTCAAAAACTTCATTAAAAACTCCAGGTTTAAGAACCCAAAAAAAATGTCCGAAACGTACATTGATTTTTTTTTTAAATATTAAAACTAGTGTATAAACTAGCTCAAAAATAAAATAAAAACGGAAATAGAATTTTTATAGCTTAACAATGTACGTTTAATTTTGAATTTTGGTGTACCATAAGTTCCTTCTTATAACATTAGCTTTCAAATTATCAAAATACCGATAAGTACAGTATATTTTTAGGTCAATCTATGGATAAAAAAGGCAAAGATCATATATTCAAAATATAAGTCCAAATTATCGATGACCTCTACACGATTTCCTTCAGTGCAGGCTCCCAATAACAAAGCAAACATTTTTTCGCAATAAACTTTAGTGGTCCCGCCACACATTTAAATGCGCTACATTATTTTGTCATTAAGATCTCTTGGTGACCGCCCAGATGTTTTCGGCTTCCTGAGCAAAATCAATCAAATCTTTAACGATGTGACAGGTTAACAAGTCTCTATATATGCTATATCTGCTGACAGGAATACGCCCAAAATCAGTCAAAGCCACTAGCTGCTAAAAAAAGCAAGCTATATATGTAGACTTGACTTGGTTTGGTGGTTTATTGCTCGACTTTGAT